TATCAGGAAATGAACAACGTTCTGATAAGATGCGACACTTTACCCTTTGAAAGCAAACGAATCTTTTCTGAAAACGAAAAACTATTAGTGCATTTCTGGTACTGGTCCTTTCGACTAACATGAAGTCAGTAATGAATCACAGGCTAGCAGTATATGCGGTAGAGAACATGGAATAAAAAAAAATGTGTAAGCATAAAAACATATATTCACCTAACATACATACATGCAGGCTTGTATGTATATATGTAGACAGATGGATAAAATGTGTATATGCACACACACACACACACATATACACACATACACACATGTATGTATGTATATATGTATACAGATAGACAGATACAACGTTTGTTGGTGTGTCTCTGTGTGTGTATGTATATATATATATATATATATATATATATATATATATATATATATATATATATGTATATGTATATATATATATATATATATATATATATATATATATATATATATATATATATATATATAAGTATATATCTATATGTGGGTGTGGGTGGGTGTATGCATTTTGTATTAAAAAATGCATCAACGTTCACATATGTATACCGCATATGAATATACGTATGCAAAGTCATTTTACTCAGTAATGTGCCGGATATAACAACTGCAACCTAAAGCGGGTGAATGGATTTTTGTCACAAATTTTATGGTACAGGCGGAATCGTCATGCTCCATTGTTAGCACGAGTTGTACCGTTGCGTAGAACTCATCGTTGCCAGCCCTGACGGTTTCCACACCACGGCCAACTCCAACGCATCTGAATTAAGAAAGCTGACAACATAGTGAAGAAAACTAGTTGATAATTCGTGTTTATCCCCAAGACTTTCTAACTGGAGAGGGAAAGAGAGAGAGAGAGAGAGAGAGAGAGAGAGAGAGAGAGAGAGAGAGAGAGAGAGAGAGAGAGAGAGAGAGAGAGAGAGAGAGAGAGAATTTGATTTGATAACATTTATTTACAGAACAGTGTACATGCCCTGCAGAGAGAGAGAGAGAGAAGAGAGAGAGAGAGAGAGAGAGAGAGAGAGAGAGAGAGAGAGAGAGAGAGAGAGAGAGAGTGAAAGAGAAAGACAGAGAGAGAGAGAGAGAGTGAAAGAGAAAGACAGAGAGAGAGAGAGAGAGTGAAAGAGAGTGAAAGAGAAAGACAGAGAGAGAGAGAGAGAGAAAGATAGAGAGAAAGAAAGAGAGAGAGGGAGAAGAAAAAAAAATATACACGTTTCAAAAGAAAGACAGAACTGACTTCCTGTGCTGATTTTACCTCAAGGTCCTAATTTAATATCCACATGACGCCGAAGCAATCACGTGATCCTTTCTTGCTATAAGTCTCAAGGGTCAAAGGTCATTTCCTTTTGAGCATATCGTCTAGTACAAAGTGAAAGTCGAGTTGCGAATTCCCTTGATCGTCATAGCGATATTAATCTAATCACTTCTGCGGTATATCTTTAAATAAATCACAATAGTTTTTTCATGACTACTTGTATTTTTTTCTAATTTGTTGAATGATTTTCCTGTTAGGTTTTTATTATAAATTTCATTCTGTTAGTACAGTGACTGTTATCAACCGTAAATTGCTTTCTAAAAATAGAAAAAAGAAGAAAAAAAGAAAAAGGAAAAAGTATGTGAACGTGTGTATACGTATGCATACACACACACACATATATGTGTGTGTGTGTGTGCGTGCGTGTATGTATTCATGTATGTATATACCTATATTCTATATATCTATTTACGGTAGACATGTCATCCTAACATATAAAAATGTGACCAAAAAGGAAATTATTTTCATTTATATATATATATAATATATATACATATATATCATATATATGTGTGTGTGTGTGATAGATAGATAGATACGCACACACATACATTTATATATATAAATATATATATATATATATATATATATATATATATATATATATATATATATATATATATATATGTATGTGTGTGTGTGTGTGTATACGCACACACACATATATTCATACACAAACACGTATGTGTGTGTGTGTAAACATGTTGACAGATATATATATATATATAGGTTTATATAGATATGAATATTCATATACACACAAATAAGATACTGTCTAGCCAATCCCGCGTGCACAACTGAATACACGATAGCACATAAAAAGCTATATAGGATATGACGAAAAAAGATAATGCAGTTTGCGTGTCATCCCATATGAAGTTCAGAATCACAAAAGTTTGGTTATAAATGATGAACGAAAAAAAAAAAAAATCACAGGACCGACCCAATCTAGTTCATAAAGTCCCGATATAATGGCAGGCATTATGTAACGTCATGGTTAACGGGTATAAAACAATGGCACTGTACATGAATTGCCATGACTAATCTTGCTGACACTTTACATACAAGATCAAGAGAAAATGGGAAATGTATGTTGGCCTACACCCATCTAAAACAAACATCAGTATCGTGTGACAAAAATGGTTTCGTTTAGTTCCACATCGGTTTGTTTAATAATAACACTGTAAAGTAACCCTCTTGACTAGCAGTCTATCTAACAAAGTCATTGGCCATGTAACAGCCTTCTCGAGACTAACAGTGTACAAGCCGTAAGATATCTGTAAGTTAAATTCCAAAATCCAAACTTTGGGTCCGCAACCTGTGATGTTCATAATTATCTTGAATTAAAGTTTTAATGCCAAAGCAGAGCACATGCTTCACCTATCTACTTCATGGTCTACACTATAATTATGAACCATAAGTTTCTAACTAAAAAAATAACCCCTAGGAACACACTGTTATATCAGCCTCGGTGCCGGTACGATGATTTCTTCCTGTAATAATTATCTTCCTCATAAACTTCCTTTATAAACCTTTAATACTCCAATACTAGATCAGCTGTACCTAAAGATCACAATGTACTCACTAACCTTTGAACCAACCCTGTACCTACTAACCCCAGAACCCACTATGTACCCACCAATCCCACGCCCGCAGTACACAAAGGAAAGAAGAGGGTAGGAGAAGGTACGTGAGGAGCAGCTGCTTTCCTCCCTACCCCCCTCGACTGACCCGGTCAACAAAGATGTGAAACAAGATCTTGCCTCTCCCAGCCCGGTCTCTTCTGCGGCGGGGTGGGTGGAGGAAAATAGGGGTACCGGTGGGGGTGGGAGGCAAGGGGAGGGATAAGAGGATATCTTTGTTTTACGGTGTATATTGCTTCACTTCACACATTTCAGGGGCAGTTTCGGTATCTTGTTCTTTAAAAAAACAAATGAAACTAATATCACCATGCATATATGACCACTTCGTTCTGGATTTTGTATTAGGTACATCTCGCTCTCTCCTTGGCCTGAATACTTTTAAACGGAAAACTCAGGCATACTAAGGAGAAACACTGATATACTAACGTCACAAGGAATATACCCCCAGCCGATAGTGAATCATGAAGAAAGGCATGAACTTGCTCCTTCTGGGGTTTCCTGTCAACTTTAGGTTTGGCTAGTCGCCCTCAGGGGTCAAACATCGTACCGGATGTTAGGTTCGGACAATTTTCCAGCTACGTCAAAACCTCACGACTTTGGACTTTCCCTCGCCAGTCCATACATCCGCTGTGACGGATGACTAAATGTAGCGAAATGAACTTGTGGGAATATAGAGATCTTTTTTCTTATGATAGGGTACGGCTGATCTCCTGAGCAAGAACCGGAGTGCATGTAAAGCCCGAGGTAAAATTGCACGATTTTCCCAAATTTTCCGTCCTATGACGCAGCCTTGGCATCAGGTGGTGTGCGGTGCTAAGGAGCGAAATAATGTGCAGCTGAAATTTTAGAGGCAACCTAGTATATATTCCAAATGCACTTTTAAACAACATTAATACTTTCCACATAAAGTAAAAATGTCGTTGAAGACCATGACCGGATAATTTTTGGGAGTCTCAACACACCAATTCTCTATATGTATATATATAAAAAAAATATTTGAAAACTAACTGACCGCGTGAAGTTGTGTGCGGGCACTTGGCGTCTTCCAGACACCGATGGGTTTCCATGGGTCAGCTTACAGCATCCTGTCTTTTTTAAATCAATTACTCATTCCCCGTATCTATGCCCTACACCTGTGGTGGCTCAGATGGATGATACTTCAAATTAATCTCTATTCCAGTGTAAATAAAATGATGTCAGTAGTACCCCTTATGATGCTACTGCAATAGCATAAAACAACAAAAAGCATTTCATCATCAAGAAAGTTGTCAAAAGAGTGTATCCGGAAGGCTCTCGCATTTCCCTTGTGAGCTTCGTTTTAGTGTGACGTTGAGAGTGAGTCAACCTCCTTCCTGCACAGCGACAACTTTCTTCCGGTGTATTTTACCGTCCCACTCCATCCATGTCCCTATGCTATCTCTTACTGACTTAGATTAGTCGAATCTCACGACTACTCTCCTATTCTACTAAACATTCATTTCCATTCTGGTTCTGCCCCTCCCCAGAAGCACGAGTGGCTTTTGAATTGGGTGAGCGAGGCGCGTGGGGCTGCCTGGCACTAGTTCCCTCAGCGCAAGGCTCGGTCTACGCAGCGGTTGTCTAGGGGAATTTTACACGCTGCGGGGGAAATCTCGGGGCAGGCTGCGTTGCTAGGGACGATAACCAATTAATTGCTATTTGAGTATTCGGCGTATCACATTCACTTGCCTGTACGAAGTTGTGTGGTTATGATTCTCTGTGTACTTATAATAGTAATGTAAAATAGTATCAACATTTCATAATCAAAGAAAGGCCGAAAACTTGTAACCCACATTTTCTTCTGCTTAAACTATTTTATATTACTTTAACGATTGTTGATTCTTTAAATTTCTGATTACTTTATTATATTTGAGATTTTCATTTTTAAAAAAATATAAACAAAATGAAAACGAAACGAAAAGCAAAGATCTGTGTCCGAAATAAAGAGAATGAGAGAGCGACAACGGAATGGGTCGAGCCTAGGGAGATTTTCCGTCCGCGGGGGAACTTGTTAAATGGCGTTGTGTTGTCGGCCGAGTCACTTCGTGCTCTCCAATCCGTCTTCAATGACACAATGAGCAAAGGCATAAGGAACTTGGTGTCGAAACGAAAGAGAAGATTCAAAGAAGATGGGTACGACTTGGATCTTAGCTGTATCCTTTTTTGTTTCTCGTGGCGTGGAGTGACGGCAAGAGACGAGTGTTAATGAGAGTGACAGCAGGCCAGGGTGCTGATGACAGGCCTCGGGAGGACCTGACTTTCCATTGCGAGGCGATTTCGTGTTCCTCCCCTTCAGGAGTTGCGTTGCTATCGTGCCCGAGTAATATCTTGCGCTCGACTGGTCCTTGGATGTGGAAGGAGGTTTTGCAGGGAGGAAGTGACAGTGATTTCAGAGACGGACCGCTTAGCCTTGAGGAAGTGTTCCAAGAGTTTTGAAGTCCTTCGAGGAGGAGGTTTCGAGTCCTTCGTCGGGATTTGTGCCTTGGGGTCCTCTGCCATCACGCCCTTGCCTCTGTCCGGGCTATTGCCATGTTATACTGCTTGATTACTTCAGTTATCAGAATTATTTTGTTTTAATTTATATTATTATTCATAGCCCATACTGCTTGATTATTACTGTGATTCATTACTGGTATTATTTCATTACGAATATGTTATTGTTACTGTTATACTATTGTCAGTGTTTGTGTTGATAGTATTTTGATTGTGTGTTTTGCGAGGAAAGTAAATTGTGTGGCTCAGTCTCTAGTTGGGTGAGTGAGAATGATATATTTTTTCTTTGCTCTATAATTGATGAGTAATTAATTTTTTATTTGAGGCTCATTTGATGGTCAGTGTGTTTTAATTATGTGCCATGAGGCAGTGTGAACCGTTTTACAATTCATCTTGTGAATGCTAAGTTTTGTGATGTGAAATTGATTAAATTGATGAGAAATATGTACAACATAATCACGGAAAATAATTACGAAATGATTTATGGAAAGTTGAATGTATATGTTTATGGTGTAGTTGACAACACTGGAAATTAGTGACATACTTGTGAATAAGGAATGGCGCGAGGTCCTACAGTTTCGATTTGGAAAATGAGGTCGCCTGTATTTGTGTCTAACGTGAGAGCGCAGTGAATGTTAACATGTAGTAAGTTTATCGTTTTTTTAATTTTTTAATATGTTGAGTGGTCTAGTTGACTTAATGAGAAATATATCTACTAAATTATTACTATATTCTTAAATTTTATTTTTGATAGATGCCAAAAATTAGAATGAAAAGAAAGTGACGGTGAATTATTACTGGGGGTAGAGTACCTAATTATTTAATACATTTGAGTAAAGCACGCATTCGATTGATAGTTTTGATATGCTATAACATTATTTTCTCAGTTTTTTATTGAGATAGGGGAAGTTAACATCAAATATATGATTTTCTAATGTACCTGAAAAATAGCTTACCATAGAAGAAATGGGAAATGCAGTTTATTAGAATAATATTTGTATTTGTATTGGTTTCTCAAGTAAATTTGAAATGTTATATGTATTTTTTTCTTCATATTTAGTACTTTTAGAATTACAGTATCTATCTAAGGTCTATTCATCACCTACTCATTTCACTCTTAGTATTATGAAGAAAGAATGTTTTTCTAGGAGGGGAAAGCAGAGAAAGAGAAAGAAAATATTTAGCCAAGAATTCATGATGTGTATTAAGGTGTGGTAGGAAGGGTGTAGCTCCTAGTAAGGGATGGTGTCACCTGCTTTAAGATTTAAGATTGGTTTCAGGCAGTGTCGTGCTGCCTGTGGAGCTTGATCAATAATGGTGATCAGCGTGATCAGCACATCATGAATTTTACAGTACTTGTTTAGGTATCCATTTCCCACTGGGACAGACAACTCTTATGAATATTGTATATTTTGGTATTTTAGTATTCTCTTTAAAGAGTTGAACAGAGAGGCCCTTACTCATTTCAGTGTAGATCAAATTTTAAGTCTGAGAAGTATTGTACTTTATTTTTCTAAAAGTTTTCTCCTTACTGAAAGCATTTATTTCCTTGCACTGCCTTTGGTAGTGGTATGGGAGTGTTATAAAGGATATGTTAATTAACACTGATTAAGGTAGTTGACTGAGAGCAACCACAAGCAATAGCAATTTGTTCAGTTGTCATCTTACTTTGGATTCGTGATTGTTTGTGAAATGGAACTGTATGCTTTAAGACCATTTGATACGCCTGAATACTCTAGTAGTTTGGTAATAGTTTAGGTTTAAGGCTATCAGTGGAATAGCAATATAGTGCAAATGTTATTAGGCACATTCCATAGGACCTTAATCAACTTCATAACAGAAATATAGTGCTGGGCTAGATTTTGAAGTATTAAAAATAATATTCATCTAAATGTGTTGAATCAGTTTTTCATAGGACTCTGGCATTGGAGCTGTTGTAACTACCACTGCCATTACCATTATCATCACCATTACTATTACCATCATCACCTGGCCATTACTATTACCATTATCACCTTGCCATTGCCATTGCTATTACTATTATCATCATTACCATTACCATTATCATTATGGGAATGTGGTAGTGGTAGTCATGATAGTGGTAATATTGGTAGTGATGATGGTAGTAGTGTGGTAGTAATAACAACAGTAGTAATAATATTATCATTATTATTTCTATTATTATTATTATAATTATTATTATAATTATTATTATTATAATTATTATTTCTATTATTATTATTATTATTATTTCTATTACTATTATTATAAATATTATTTCTATTATTAGGATTATTTCTATTAGTAGGAATAGTAGTAGTAATAGTAATAGAAGTAATGGGTATTGTTATTATATTTATTATTATTATTAGTAGTAGTAGTAGTAATGGTAGTAGTAATGGCAGTAATAATAGTAGTGGTAGTAGTAGTAGTAATAATAGTAATAGTAGTTGTAGTAGTAGTAGTGATAGTAATAGTAATAGTAATAGTAATAGTAATAGTAATAGTAATAGTAGTCGTAGAAGAAGAAAAAGAAGTGTAGTGTCAGTTGTAGTGTCAGTAGAAGTAGAATTGATAGAGGCTAGTTCATGGAAAAAAGTATATATAGCTGCAGCAAACTTATCAGCAATAATAATAGTAGTTTGCTGCTACAGCTCTTTTCATAAGGAATATGTAGATGATTATGATAATGATAATCTTGATAAAAATGAGAAGAAAAATTATCATAATATTAATAAAGATGATAATAATGATAACATAATGTTGACAGTAGTAATAGTGGTAATGACAGTGATAATGATAATGATAGTCATAATTAGTCATAATAACCATAATAATTATAGTAATGATGATGATGATAACAATAATTATAATAAGAATGATAGTAATTATTATAATGGTGATAATGATAGAATGATAACAGAAATGATGATAATGATAAAATGATTACAAAAATAATGATGATGATGATGATGATGATAATGAAAATAAAAATAATAGTATTACTATTATTATCATTAATATTGATAACAGTGATAACGATAATAGTAGTAATATCAGTAGTATTTACAGTAGTGGTAATAGTATGAATACTCTTATTATGGTCATTATAATTTAAAAATAAAAATGGTAATGTTAGTGAATGTAATGGAAAGGAAAACCATGATTATGGATATGATAATATTAATGATAATGATATTGATAATATTAATGATAATAATATTGATAATATTAATGAAAATGATATTGATGATATTAATGATAATGATATTGATAATGTTATTGATAATATTAATGATAATGATATTGATAATATTAATGATAATATTAATGATAATGATATTGATAATATTAATGATAATGATATTGATAATATTAATGATAATGATATTGATAATAGTGTATGTAAAAAAGATGATGTTAATAGTGTTGATGGTGAAAGTAACAATGATATTAATAGCAAATAATGTGATAATTGAAATCATTATTATTATAATTATTATGATGATTATTATGACTACTGTTATTATTATTACTCTTATTAATTATTGTTGTTTTTGTGTTATGATGATGATAACCATTGTTATTAATATCATTATTATTATTGTTATTGTTATTGTTATTGTTGTAATTATTATTATTATTATTATTATTATTATTATTATTATTGTTATTGTTATTGTTATTGTTATTATTAGTAGTAGTAGTAATAGTAGTGGTAGTCATATTAGTATTAGCATTAGTATTAGTATTATTGTTAGTGTTATTATTTTATTATTATTATTATTATTATTATTATTATTATTATTATTATTATTATTGTTGTTATTATTGTTATTATTGTTATTGTTATTGTTATTGTTATTGTGAATATTTCTATTACTCTTACTATTATTATTACCATTACTATTAATATAACTATTACTACTCTACTATCATCATTAATATTGTTATTATTGTTGTTGTTGTTCTTGTTTTTGTTAGTTTTTAATTTAAATTATAATTCTTATTTTTTATTATTATTTTTTTAATCATTATAATAATATATCATTATAATAATTGATTCTATTTTGCCTAATGATGAAAATTGTTACTATTAATAATACTATTGTTATTGCTACTACTATTACTACTACAACCCTTATTATTATTATTATTATTATTATTATTATTATTATTATTATTATTATTATTATTATTATTATTATTATTATTATTATTATTGTTATTATTATTATTGATATATATTACTGATATTGTTATTAAAAAAGATAATGACATTATTGATTATAATGATAATGATACCAGTAATAATGATAATACTGATATTAATACTAATACGACTAATAATACTAATAATGATGATAATAAAGATAATATTGTTCTGAATATTATTGACATTAGTGATATTATTGATATATTCTTGATATTGTAACTAAAAATGATCATAACATTATTGGTAATAATAATAATAATAATAATGACAGTTAATGAATTAATAATTATTGTTATATTGACATTTATTATTGTTGTTACTGTTTTTAACATTTTTTATAATAGTAAGGTTTTTATTATTACAGTTATAATGATAATGATATAAATAATAACAATAATTATTACTATTATTATTATTATTATTATTATTATTATTATTATTATT